AACACGCCCACAGAGCCTCATGCTCAGTCAGCCAGGCATGCGCTCAGCGCAGGCCCATCACGGTGGGCGGGCCCCCGCCCCCCTCGTTCCCCCACCACCCCCGGGGTGACAAGCAGGCCCCCTGCCCTCCCTGCAGCTCTGACGGCCCTGGACACAGGCCCTGGACAGAGGTGCCACGCCTCACTCTAGCGTCCCTGCCTCTGTGTGCACTGGCCCCCCACCGAGCCCCCCAGCCCTTGAGGCCCGCCTTGGTGCCTGTGCCTTCTGTTAATCATCCTGCCAGTCACCCGGAGTCCCCTTGAGTCGCCGGAGCCCCACGGCAGGGCCGCTTGACCTCGGTCCCCGGATGTCTGGGCGACCACCTGCTGGTGGGGGAGCTGTCCTAGACACGGCAGAACGTAGCAGCGTCCCTGGCCTCCACCCACTCGATGCCAGCTGCTCTGCCCCCACTGCCACAACCCAAACCGCTTCCTGACACCACCAAGTGCCCCTGCAGGCAGCCCATCTCTGGGGGAGGACCACTGCCCTGGACTCAAAGTACGTTCAGGATGCAGCCCCCGCCCCGCCCCTCACCCCCACTGTCGGAGGGAGCTCGGCGGGGACCCTGCGGCCCTACGGCCAGGGGCTGTGTGTCCTGCCCCGGGGCTCTGCACCTGCAGGGGCACAGGCCCTGGCCAGGCCACCCCCCGGCTGTGAGTTTCCTCACCTTCCCGAACATCAGAAACCTTATCTGGGTGACAAACGAGGCGAGCCACGTCGCAGGCCTCCTGGGGAGCCGCTGCGCCAGCCCCGCAGGTTTCTGAGTGGCAGTCGTCTGTGGACACCGCCTGCCAGGTCTGTCGTTTACTTAATGTTTCTCTTTAAATCAACTGTTCTCATCAACTGAGACAGACTGGGCTTGCACGGAAGCTTTCCATCACTGCTGTAATGTGGAGACAAACATGCTCGCTACAAACAGAGCCATCATGAAAACGATTCAACAGAAACCAAACAGCGGCACTGAGCCCTGTCTGCATCTGAGGGGCCGAGCCAGAGGCCACACCAGCACCAGGCAGCGCGCGTCCTGGGTGAACAGACGCAGGGATGGGGACACGTTTCCCTCGTGCTGCGACAGGGAGCGCCCGGCACCGGCGGCAGTCCCCACGCTCCCCCACCGTGGAGGAAAGGTGGCTGGAGGAGGAGTCAAGGCACCCAGAGCCCGGCCAGCCTGGCGATGCCTGCCAGTGTTACCACTGTCGCCACCATGGGTGCCAGCAGGAGGCGGGGAGGGGGAGAGCAGAGCCCACCTGGAGCAGCAAAGGTGAGGGCAGCCAGTGGCCGCGCTGTGCCGAGCTCCAACCCCAGCCTCCGCGTGGCTGCTGCCAGTTTGGGGGATGGGCTGGCCGGCTTGGGGGCCAGAGCTGGGTGTCACCGGGCCTGTGGAGCCCTCCCCTCTGTCCTGGGCAGGTCCAGGCAAGAGGACGACGCACGGCTCAGCCCCAGCACACGGAGGCCCAGAAACAGCGCTTCTTCCCCTGTGCCAGGTGTGGGTGGAGCGGGCGCCTGGCCACCCTCCTCCGGCCTCCTCACCGCTGCCTGGCCAGACCCAGACAAGTGTGTCCCCTTCCCAGTTCACAGACGAGAGACTTGGGCCTGGAGAGACTGGCACCTCCTGGGCCCCTCCTGGGTCCCTGTCCCGGCTGTGATCTCGCCCACTCTGCCAACCTGCTCCCCGACGACCCCGCAGGACTGTGCGCTTGGATGGGCTGGTTCAGGCCCGCAGGGCCGCAGGGAGAGAAGGACCACGAGGAGGCCTGAGCAGCTCAGCCCTGGTGGAGCCCGGACGCAGGGCTGGAGCCAGGACCCCAGGAAGGACTCTGGAGGCCTGAAGATGAGGGGAGGGGGCTGCAGGGCC